AGTCTGCTATTGGAAATGACTTGCTTCTCAACCATACTTTAAACTTAATCTGTAACAATTACAAATATTACTTCTAATGTAGAGGCATGTCAATAAGAAAATGATTAGCACTTGAGCAAACAACCAGTACTTAAGATCACCAAAAAACATCAAAACTTCTCTGGCCTCCTCTCCTTTGGAAGAATCCATTACTAACCCCTTTTTCACAAACAGAAGTTAAATAAATCCTTAAAGTCATCTACTCTGTTAATTTAACTATGGGAATTGAGTTATATATCTGATAAAAAAAGGTATAATTTCAGTATTGAGAGCTGGCTCAAGATATAAAAACTCTCTAATAAGTGATGTGTAATAGTCATACAGCTGTAGCTTCCTGCCTATCTGGAGCAAAGAAAACTTCCTTGCAATAGTTTTCACATCTTTCCAAAGAAAGAGTAAGACAGAGCAACATAATCTAAACCTACCCTTTTCACTCCTCTACAGAGCTGAGTGGTGTTTTATAAGGCTTTTGGTGCATGTATTTGTGTTGTTGAAATGAGTCTTCCCGGAGCCTTCCCAGAGTTCAGCTGAAGGTATTATCTCTACTAAGAAGTTCAACTCGAAATGAAAAAGAGATTAAATGAGCACTAATCACATGTGTCATCTAAAGAACTGGATCTTGACTGTCACTTGTCTCAGTGCCCAAGGCTGAATGCAGGTGTCCTCTATCCTGGAAGGGGAGATGGATATGAGAAACTGGGAAGCCTTGACACAGAGTTGAGAGCAGAAGCCACTCAAGGTGGTGCAATCAGTGCTGCCCTTGGAGCCCTTTTCCCTCCTCTATTCTAGTCTCCACTTTTGACAGATGTCAAGATGTTGAATTCAAGAAAGGGACAGGGGACGTGGGTTGGAAGATGTACTAGCTGATAGAATAAGGCCATCAGGACTAAAGTATTAAGAGGGTCACAAAAGTCAAAGTTAAAGGAATACCATTTAGTAGAAATATTTATTAATGAAGGTGATATTTGATAGTTTCCTGTATTGGTTCACTCTAAAAGAAGGCACAAAGCGTCAGTCCACACTATTGTTGCACAGACAACAGTCCTTGCTTCACTTCAGCCTCCCCAAGTCATAAGCACCTATATTATAACAAGACACCTCCAAAACCAAGCAGATGCTGATTCCTGAACTGCTGAAGTGGGTTTTACTGGCTTCAGTATCATTAGCTGAGCACAGCTGGTTTTGGAGAGGAAGCCACAAGGTCATTGCCAAAAGCCTCAAATCTCAAGAAGTAAAAAAGGGAGAAGGGGAGGGTACAGAGTTAAACTGGTAGTATAAGGCATAAATCAGTTGGTGTTGAGATGTCTTCATCTGTATTTTATGCAGTTCATGAGGTTACTTGGGATTAGATTGAGTCTGGTTCCATGGACCTAACTTCACTACTGCACATGTGGTCTGAAGCTGTGTGAAGGACCAATGATTGGTCTGGATATCTATGTTCCCCTTAGGATTTGGAAGGCAGGTTTGGTAGAAAGCAAACCTGCTTTCCAAACCTGGAGCAAAAGTTTCACTCTAGTCTCCTCTAAAATGAACTTGATGCATGCTAATCCTGCTCTGCGGATGCAGGAGGCATGCGGCAAATGGGACAATCTGGGGAGTCACTTCAAAAGAACAGTGTTGCTTCCAGCCAAAACTCTAACGCAGGCACAACTGCAAAAAGATTACTTGAAAATTTATAATCCTCCCTGTTGATCTCACCTTTTTCCACACTAATATCTCTGAAGAACCAAAGAAAGCAAAAGGTTATAATGCTTTGCAACTTGTGACCACAGCAAGTATGAAAAACTAGCTTTTGTACCACTGAAAATGATGTTTTTTATGACATTATGATTAATTAACTCATTTTTCAAGTGCCTCATTTCATCTTAAAAATAGCTAAATCAGACTATATTTTAATCCATCACCTTTCCACTGTCACCCTTGGCACAACTCTACTCTTTGACCTTCTCTTTTCAACTTCCTGCTAAGATGTGTGTTTAATGAAAGAAAAATCTGCCTAATTTTCAAATTTAGATCCAAGTCCTTCCCTATCACAATCATCAGCTAATTTCCTTAAAACATCATCACATAATCAAAGTGGACTCTGGGGACCAGTGTCCTAACCCTGTCCTCTCTGACAGATGGAAGATTCCTTTATTACAAGTCTAAGCTCAAGGTTGATGGGATTCCTTCAGGGAACAATACTCATTTTTTCCAAGCCCATACCAGCTCCAGGTCAGCTATGGCACTAACTACAAAACAAAACAAAGACTTTTCCTGTCTCTCTGTCAATGCTTTTTAATGTTAACCTGAAGGGAGTACCCATTCCTCACACAATTGCACTAATCACCAACAAAAGTGCATACATGCATATTATTTCGTGAGCTGAACATTTGACCTCCTTTATTGTTGCCCAGTTTACTTTGGACAGAAATATCCAAGTTATTTGTGCTTGGCCAGCTCCCTCCTCCTAGTTCCCTCAATGCTCAAACTACATGTTAAAGAACAAACTGGTAACCTTCACTGGTGCAGCTACTTACCTCTAAAACTCAATAATTAATCCCAAGTGGATGACAAATACTAAGCAATTTATTCTCTGCTTGGCTGAAGCTTGAAGAAGCATGGACTCTGAATTAGTGAGCTCTTTGGATTCAAATCTGGAAAGCATATGTTTCCCTTCCATCATTCAATCCATCAAAATGCAAGGGGAAAAAAAGGCATGGGAAAGGCACATGGCACATTTTGATATTATTCATTAACATTAATGTCTTGTTATAAAGATATGTTTTATTTGCAGGTAACAACAGCCTCATGGGCATCTGGGAACACTTTGAATGATTGCCAAAAAAAAGAAATTTGGGTCATAACTAATGATCAACATCCCCTTTTAATCAAATGAAGCCATCATAATGTGTCAGTCCTCCAGGGGAACAAGGACCTTTCACCTTGCTGAGGCCTGCTGAGGCCAGCAGTAGCAATAAGCAAGGCTGGCAAATGGCCTTTTGCTTCAGAGAGGGAAAACTGGGATCTATCCTTCAACACACTCACTTGTGACACTGAATGCATGAAAGAAACAGTGACTGAGGAGTGGCGTTGCCTTCAAATTAATGCATTTGTGGAACTCCTATTTAAGACTTTCTTGGTGCCAGAGTAGTTCTCCCGTATCACCACTGGTGGGGATGTCCTTTGCTCTAACACCGAACCACCGCCTCTCAGAGGAGATCTTCTCTGAGAGGATCTTCTGTAAAAATTTCGAGTCCTGGCTGCAACTCTGACACAAAGGGATACCTTAGGACACTAAAGGTAGCTCCCACTCTTCAATGTTAGTTCTTCCATAGAGTGAAAAGCTTTTCAGGTGAGTGGATTTCCATTTTTTCTTTTTTTTCAATCAGAAAATTTTAATCAAGACACTTTTTCTCAATAACTCTTGAAGAGATTTAAAAACTAAACAAAAACTTTACCTGAAAACAAGACCAAAATAAAGACAGAAAAGAAGTTTGTTTTCACAGATAAAAAAACAGAGGCCATAGTTAAAAGCTCTAATTTCAGAAAGAAGATTTTCATGTGACTCCTGAATCCTGCAGTTCTCTGCCAGTCATACCACTTGATAGGCCTGTATCCCCCCAAAATGCTCCTGCCTACATTAGACTCCTACACACCTTGCAGATGCCCTACACAGAATATGTGTTTTGCACTTCACACTGTAGGAAGAAATGATTGCACTACAAGAGCCTGAAAGCCTGGTGGAGGAAGCAAGATTACTATGTTTTTTTCCTGAGGCATCAGAGAAGGAGGTTAATTAAATGCTGAGCTGCATATTTCACTGTGAAATTTTAGTTAACTGTACTCTGGCTTTTTTCACTGCCACTCAGAACCCCTTCGGTGAACTATAATATTTAATCTTTGGTGTTGCTCAAACTGAAATGACTCCCTAGATTTGCGTGAGAGCCTAATGAATATCTCAGACTGGTCCCTGAATAGCCCTTTATCTATCAAAGAAAACAGCATTCTGGTGAGAGCTTTCCTATTAGCTTACCCTGAAGGGCAGGTATTGGCTTTCAACACCCATATTTCTCTGTAGCTGAGTGCCCCTGTTCCTGTAGCATCTGAGTGCTTCATGTTCCATCATATATTAATGACCACTTCATTTCTGTGAGGTGAGGCTGGACTATCACCACTAGTAGACTAAAAGGAGATCCAAGCACACACATATCGTGTTGCTCAGCAAACACTTCAAGCCAACAATCACTGCCAAAAGAAGCAGCCCAGTTTCCTCCTTCCCCAGGCCACTCATTTCCACTCACCTCCCAGGTTTGCAAAGGCGTGTGGTTAACACCACTGATGATCCAGATGCAAAATAGCTATGAAGGTATTCAGAGGAAGGCTAGAAAAGGGATTTTATATTGGTTCTCCCATCCCACTTTGGTGTAGAGCTGCACAAGTGCTTGCACTGGCAAAATGAGGTGCCTCAAGGTGCGACTCCATCTTTCAGTAGCCAGGACATCTTAGCCTCTTCCTTGGGCAAGACCGTCAGGGACCTGCCCAGCACCAGAGGAGGCATCTGATCTCAGGACAGTTGCAGGGTCTCAAGTAAATAGAGCACCTTATCTCACCACAAAACTTTCTAGGGTCAGGTGACAAACTCACCAATAATGTTGTTATTCTAATTACTGTTAAATAAATCAGCTACTGACACATTATAAAAGATGATTAAGCTGCCTCAGGCTGCAATGAGTCAACATGGAGGCCCACATACATATCATCATTCCCCTTTTGCTCCCTTACTGTATCTGCTGGCTTGTGTTTTCTTTCTGAATAAACTGAGGGCCGGGCAGCTCTTTTTAAGAACTCTTCCCAGGCTATTGAGTTTTCCAGCTGAGTGTAACGTTAACCATTCTGTCAGCACTGTATAAGCTCACAGCAATTTTACATTATGGCTTCTAGCACAGCACAGCAAGAGAAGCCCAGTATGGGAGTTTAATATCTAGAGGCAGGGCTGAAGTGGCAAGTGCTGAATTTGATAGCTTTGGATTTGGCACCATTTCTGAATAGTGGTACTTTCTAACAGCCCCCTAAAACCCACTGATCTGGAGAGAAAGTACACAGACCTGCCCTAACGCCCAAGGCATTAAAGCCAGTTGGCAGGCCTGTCTCCGAGGCTATTAGTGTTCCTGAACACTAGAAAACTCCTGTCCCAAGATATTGCATTTACTTACGTCTCCTTTCCAAACTGGAAATGCTTTTGAGCTTCATTCCATGCCTGTTTTTTGTTTCAGTTAGAAAATCTGGAAATACAAAGAAGAAACGTTTAGAGTTTGCAGCACTCAGCAAAGACCAGGAGCCTGACTAAAAAAAAAAGGCAAGAACTGGTAGCAAATCTCGCAGATTCATTAAATGCTCCCAATTATAGTTCCAATTCTTTGCCTTCTGATCATACTGACAGTCTTCCCACTGAGCATTTTCAGTGGAAAAAGTCCCACAGGAAAAAAGAACAGCTGTATTAAAAAGTTGCTCTGTGGAGAGAGAAAAAAATCCCTGGCTGAGTGAGAAAATCAATAAACATTAAAGCACTGCAGATAATTGCAAAACGATGTTGCTTTATTTAAAACTCCTCCTATTTTTTTTGGAAATTAGTTCTGCAAATGTTGCATGTGAAGGAATAAGCTTCCCCATGAGCATCACTGAAGATGATGGACGGGAGTAGGAAAGAATGCACAATTGTGTTTTCTTCCTCCCAGAGAGAGGGCATTAATCACACGTTCCTCCATAATCCTCCTTCCAAGGCCCCTGAAGGAAAGGGAAGAACCTGTCATAGCTCTAGCATCAGACTCTTCTGGTCTTCAGTGCAGATATTTCTACTGGGTCTGTGACAGAACGGAATGCATCCCAGAGCAAAGAGTGGGAAACTGAGGATGGCATTTCTGAGCTGGGCTACGTACTTTCATCTGGGCCTTTGTCTGTTGTCCAGCACTTTTCCCTTTCTGTTTGGTCATAACCAGATGCTTATTTCAGAATAACACAGCTTCCTAAACCATCTCACAACTGTTTTTAACACCTCACATGTCAGCTGCTGTGAGTGCTCTTTTTTCACTCCAGCACAAGACAGAGAGCTCAGTAGAAGCAGCAAGCTGGGACATGGGCCAAAAGCAAGCCCTGGGGCAAGGGAAAGCCCAGATGGAGAATCAGGGCATCTGCAAGACATATCACTGTTGCCCACCTTGTCACATGTTCCTCAAAGAGGCTTGATTTCTGGGTTCGATGGCACCATAAGTAGGCTTATTATTTCCCCAGCATCCACGGTTGGTGAGTTAGGACAAAAATGCAGATTCCAACTGAAGGTTGAAGTGACAATGTACCCAGAGCAGTTCTCAAGAGGGGAAGAAGGTAGTCAAGAAAACGCGAGGAAGGTTTTGATTTGAATATTTTGAAGGTCTCTATTAACAACTGTAGTCTCCCTGCTGGGGCAATTGAGTAGAGGAAATAATAATGGAGATTGAAAGGTATTCACCATTCGACCTCTTGTAACCCTGACATTCTTCAGTAGAATATGATTGGAATTGGGCACATCTGCTCTCAATAACAAATATAAAACATTACCTGCAGCTTTAAAGCCTGAAAAACATAAAGTTGGGCTAAAAGAAGGACATAAATATGTATATCTGTAGACTCAATATAACTTTAACAGTTTAAAAATAACCGTAATTGTGGACACAACATTTCTTGGAATGTTTTGTTTCCTGGAAATTCTGGGAGGTGAAAAGCCGACCTCCATTTACAACTGCCAAGCAAATGCACAGCTAGCTTCAGACATTGTGCAGGTGTGCTAGCACAGATCGTGTGCATCCTACCATCTGATCTGGTAGCCACCACTGAACACCGCTCAGACCAGCAACTGACCTTGCACCTTCTGCCTTATCTGCCTTATTCTTGGGCCAAAGAGGTTGACACTGTGCAGTGGAGTGCAGTGCTGAGATCTCTGAGGTGGTGCCAGGTAGGCTAGTCCTGGACCTTCGTGTGGGATGGTTGTATCACTGTCGTCTATATCCAAGTCTATATCCCAGCTACTTAGCCCAAGAGTGCCGCAGCACTTGTGTTAACGGCTCACAAAGTAACTCTGCAAAGCTTTATGTGGTGCCACGCAACATATCATTTCACCCTGAATCAAAGCATGGGTCTCTAGCCCAGTTCTGCTGGGCTGTCAGGGCTTCTCAGGGCCCTGAGAAGTAAGTGTTACTACTAAACAGGATTGGGAATACTTTCAGAGTTGGACTGTGCAAGTCCTTCTAGGCAAGATCATGAGCTAGGCTGAACAAGAAGTTTCTCCTTGTCTTGGAGAGCATGCACTAGATCCTGTCCCTGGCAACCCTTTCACAGAGAAATAGAGAACCATTTTTCTCAGCTGCCTCCCAGGAGTATCTGGAGGCCCTCCAAAAAAGCAAAAACAACTCTACAGGAGCTTCTACCCAGTTCTGATCTCTTCTTGCAATGCAACCAGCCCTGCCACTCTGTCATCTGAAGAAGCCAGTCTTACTGGTGACAAGACTGCAAAGAGCTGAAAGATGGAACATGTCCAGTCTCTGCAGACACAGATGCTTGAACAGGGACTGTGCTACAAATCAGATGGTGTTGCTGATTCATCCCATTCTCAGTAGCACATGTGAGTCATCTGTCCATCCCAGCTTGCTCACTGCTGAAAAGTTTATTTTTAATGATTACTGGTTAAAAATAAATGTATACTTCACACAAGTGAATAAACCACTCAGCTCCAAATCGGTATGAATGTGCCTTGAGAAAAAATATCTAGTTTGAATGCTAAAGGAAAACTGAGAACTCGCGCTTCTCTTACACTGGCATAAATGAGGAATAACCCCACTGTGATCAGTTATTGTTTTTATAAAGGAAGCATTTTAAGGACTCTGATTGAGATCTTTCTCCCTTAGGCTGTAATCCTTTCAGATGTTTTATTATTAGCCAGTATCTATAAAAAGGGAACTCAGACATTGAGGTTTTAAATGTGGGGTTTGTTTCACCTTCAGCATTATAAAAGTCAGCAATCTAATCTATGCTTTTGATTCAACCTCCCTCAACATGTCGTAATAATACCATGTCCAACCCATCCTACTATGGATCTCAAACAACGGAAAAAGGTGACCCTTGCAGGTGCACATATATAGACAGAATCCACATAATTGTCTCGGACTACACAATCCAAAGCGTGACAAGAGGAGCTATACTTTAATTGATCACAGCAGAGGGAAGACTTGAAGTCTGCTCCTCTCAACTCTAAGCCGATGCTGTACATGGCTGAAGCAGTTGAGGATTTTAAAACCGTTGTCTAGAAAATGGACTTTGATAAAGAGTATGGGCAAAAGTTTATGATCTGGGACATGAAGCAGGGCAAACCCATAAGATTGCCTGGTCATTAACTCTGGAAATAGTACACATCAAGGGACACTACTCTGTTTTCCTATATGGATTACAAACCGCGGGAAAGCTGCATATCAGCCATCGGGTTTATCCTGGTTCAAGAGAAAACACATTCGTACCACATGTACAACCTGACAATTGCCCTCCCCTTATGGACACCGTGGTACTTTTCTATCTGAACACACACAACAGCAGCATGGTGAAGGCACATGTGGTCTCCTACCCAAAGAACTGATACCCCGAGAAGATATTCAATGAATGAAGTATGGAAGGGTGCGAGAAAACACGCCAGTTCAAAAATAAAATAATTGACACATACATACATTTGGATCACAGAAACAAGGTAGAAGCACCAATAATTTCCCCTCCATATTTGTTACAGCAGATGGCATATGATGGCAGGGCTTTGAAGCAACCTGCTCTTTCAAAGCATGAGTCTGAAATAAACTTCTAAGAGCAGAGCACTTCCTTCCTATTGTCTTTTGGATGAGGCAAGCAAGCTGCAGGGAGAGATGGTCTCCCCTTCCTCACCAAGCATTAAAGGCAGCCCAGCTATGTTATTCTTTGCATTAAAGCATTAGCATGGGAAGCTCTTCAGGACAGGCACCATCTACTCTTCTTCCTGTGAGCCCTGCCTTCTCACTGAGTGCATGGCCCTCAATGAAAAAATCACCGCAGGGAGGAGCAGCTGATGTTGTCCTGAGGACTCCATCTGTCTCTGCACCCTAGGAGCCTGCTTTCCACCCTGGAGAACAACTCATCCTAATCTGCACCCACATCTCCCACCGCGCAGGTGCCCCGTCCAGCTGCCTCCTCCCATCCCAACACAGAAGTGACTGCTCTACACAATGCACAGAAAGACAATGCTCCTGGGGATCAGCACCCAGAGATACTCTCATGTGGATTACCAGCAGATCAGGGTCAATGGGAGCAAGCTCTCGCTTTGTTCATGGTACTATATGAGATGGTAGGAGAAGACACATGACATGGTCAAGGACAGCCTCAGGCGTTGTCTGTTATGGACAGTCCTCTGGACAGGGAAAGGGGTCACAGCTTCCAAGCATCATATATCTGCCCTATGGCACACAGTTAATATACCTGTGCTTCTCTGGAAGATGATCTTCATACCAGCCCATGTCCTGCTGCATTTCTCACTTCTGCTTCCCCACATACCACAGGGGGAGGCCTTCTGTACTGCAATAGCCTGGATGAATTCCATCCTTAACTAATATTTGCAGGAAACCAATCTCCAACATCCAAGATGGTTGCTAAAGGCATATGTTAATTAGATTTACAGTAGACCAGAGCATTAATTTCTTTTTGTTAATTTTATAATACACTATTTTGTTCTTAACTTCCTACAAAGAGTAACTGCAATTTAAAAGTAATACAAAGAGTTATTAAGAGTAACTACAAGTACCACTGCAACTTTGGAGAGAGAAAAACATTTTCTTTAGGAAGCATTTCCTGTGTCCTTCCGAGTGCCTTATCTGACCAGCATCTTTCACTTTTATTTACATTTTATCTTCTTTAGGAACATTTGTGATATGGACTGAGTCATCAATAAGGGCACAACATGAAAGGAAGGAAGAAAAATAAGCTGTCTAAAGAGCACTACTCTGCAGGAACTTTATTAACATTTATTGTGTGGTATCAAGTTACCAGAGTTGAATGGAAAGAACAAAGTGTTTATTTAAGTGGCATAAAACACAACTCACTGGAAGTCACATTCAAGTATTTTGAAAATACATGATGGAAATGGACATAAGAGAAATCTCTCAGATTTTGTAGAAGCCAATAACAGGTACAAGTTGGCCAGGAGGGCAGTAAAGTTCATGAGAATGACAGTATTTTTAAGAAAAAGCTCTTGGATAAGGGAAATGCCATGGAATTAGGGAAGAAGGTGTAATTTACAATAGAAGAAATCCCAGGGCTATCACATTCATAATCTACATGCACAAAGCCTATGTCTTGTCGTTCCCTCCTGCCCCCTCCCAAGCAAGCAAAAGAGACATACTTAAGAAACAGCTCAGTGTATTTCCAAAGCTGATTCCTGCATCTGGAAGACTTCTGAGCTTTTTCACTGGCCAAGTCACAAACCTCACTCCCACATTAATAGAATCTGATTGCTACTGATGTAGACTGTAGGAAAACCTTCGAAGTCTCTGTAGGAGTAAAGCAGGATATACATTTGCAGATGACATGCATGTGCTGCCATAAGCAAGGCACACAATTAGAACTGAGGCTAGATTTACAGATTTGAGCTCTCCTTGGCTTGGATAATTACACAGCACGAATAGCTGACTTTTAACTCCAAGAAAGCAAAAAATACACGCAGAGAGAGAACTTTACCTTGCTGTAGGAGATGATCTTATTCCTCCCTGACTTTGTTCTCTCAGAGTAGAAGGTCATGATCTGAACTTCCATTATGGCTGTGCAAAAATGCATCAAAGGTTCAATGGATAAAAGAATGTTATTTTCCAAAACCGCTGGGACACTTCCTGTCAGTTCACATAATTGAGTATTACAGTATTTAAATTACAGATTGAAGGTTATTTTTACAGGTGTCATTTTAAATATAATATGAAATTTCTTGACATTACCTCAGCCATGCTACACAACCCAGCTGCACTCAGACTTGCATGTGTGATGCACATGGCTGAAATTTTGTCATATTACATCATGGACTACAAAAACACGCAGTATAAATAGACGATGTAATATCTGAGAGAGCAAAAACACATAGTGCTGGCCTTGCTTTATGGAACCCCAGATCTAATATGGACATGGAAATGTAAACTGTTATAAGAGTTCAGATCAAAAATCTTAGAAAAGGGTCATGTAGAAGAGCAGGTTGCAGTCAGATAGACAGTGCTAGATTGCCCTCCAGTGGACTCCAGCCGATTCTGCCTCCTCATCTCCAAACCTGTCTGAGGAAGGAGAACCAAGCCACATGACTTCATGAAGCTAAACAAATGAGACAGCCCATGAGAAAGACTTAAGTTATTCACGCTGGCATATCTGCAGACCAACAAGAAAATGTTAAATTAATTAAGAAATAGATCTTTAAAAATCCTCTTGGACTTTTTCCACAAGTTGGTATTAGCGGCTGCAAAGAATTTGCCTTTGACTGTTCTAATTTAATGTGGCTTTCTAAAATGCTATTATCTCCATTCTGTAATTTGTTATTTCACTTTTATGGTTTCCAAAAAAATGCCATATACACCTTTTCTTCTACTCCATTGTGACGTGCAATTTGCCATTCATTCTGGGTGAAGCATTCCTTTCCCACTGAAGAATTCTAATAAAATAAATATAAAAAAAAGAAGAAAATAAAAAAAGAAGAAAAAAAAACTAGTTTCCTAATGTTGTTAACACAAACAAAGCTAACAACACTTACTAGATAAATTAAAATTCCCTTGTCCTTTCACTACTCTCCTCCAACAAAAGTGGAATATAGTTTTACTGGCATGAAGCTTTAAGTCCAATCCAACCTTTCTATTCAGCTCCAGTTGCAGCATGCAGTGCCCACAAACAACCTGGGGCAGCTGGACAGTCATTCAGAAACATCGCCAAACTCACGAGCAGGGAGATGGCATTTCATCTACAAGCCTGTACATGCACTGGCAATTTTTATTTTCTGTATGCCTGGGCTTCCTCACAGAAAAGAACAAAGTTTTGGGGATTCAAGAAGCAAATTTGTAATGGTACAGACATCACATCACATCTTCTAAGCAAAGTTTGGATTATAAGGCCTTCTGTTCATCAGTAATTAGTAAAAAGAAGGTTCATAACAAAATTATCACCCCTTTCTTGTGAGAAATCGGGTTACACTTCTTAGTGATTTGGTGCAAATATTCTCATTGCCCTCATTTCATGTGTTTTCGTTTAAATTCCTTCTTCCTCCAAAGAGACTGAGAGAAAAAAAAAAGAGAGAGAGAGCGAGAAAAGAAAAATGGAAAAAAGTTACTATTTCTCTTTTTTTATTTCTGCTGAAAAAACATAAGTATCTAAATAGAATGGAAAAATGTCTTGAAGTGTTCCCGTTCTATAATGAAAGACATTTTCAACAAAGGAACATAGTCTATGTCAGGCAATTTGAGTTATCTCCCTAAACAGAGTCTACTCTTTAAATGGAGACAGAAATAGAAACTACACACAAATGAGTGAGTGAAAAGTTCCTTATTGTGAACAGAAGGTATCTCGAGGCTACCCTGGATTTAACCTGGAAAATGAGCATACCGCGATGTGTCTGATAGAAGAAAAATCCAGCCATCCAGATGTGCAGGTCAGAACCAGGGCCATAGCCTAAAATAGATTAAAACAGGAGGGGGAGCTCTCACTCAGTCTGTCAAGGTATAAAGGTGTTCCCAGGTACTTTACTCCAGACGAAAAAAAAAACAGTCCCAAACCCCTTAAAATTATTTTTAAAAGTCAACTGTTTTGTTAGGAAAATGAAGCACTTGTTTTCTCAGCTAGATGAATCATCACGGGTAAGTAAGCATTCAAGTGAGCATTTAGGCTTTGTGGATTTTACCCCAAACTACACAAAATTTTTGTTTTGTTTCAAGGATACATAAAATTAAATCACTGGAGCTGATTTTTGCCTTCTGTGATGTTTGGTTTGTTCACATCTGAAATTCAAAGTAAAAAATATCAAGGAATGGGAGCTCTTATGGACGAAACCCAAAACAAATGTTTGCAGGAACCTCTGAGAAATGGAAGTGCTGTGTTCACACAGTTCTAATTATAACATTGCATTTGTAGGCTTCATATGACCTAGATCTCATATAAGAGAAACATAAAGGAAAGCTGACATAAAGGGAATATGGAATACCCTATGGAATTTCAGCTGGAATCTAGGAAATCCACTGCAGAAAAGTGGGGACTACTTAGAAAACAGCTGGAAAAGACCACAAGTGAAATTCATCTTGGTTATAATCTAAACACAGGAAAGGGCAACAAAGGCCAGTTCAGTTAAGCAAGGATATAAAGTCTTATACATCGTGTGCAACAATCATAATAAAGGCTGTTTAGAACATAAATAGCACAGGGAACTACATAAAAAGTAGATAGAAGCTAGTTAAAATGAAAAACTAGTGGGTGAAGGGATTCTAATGAAAGGTAAACTGCAAGGAATAGTTCAGTTAATCACACAGTTTCTTGCACATATCCAATGCAAAGACAAAAAGGAATGCAGAAAACTGAACCACTTAAACTGATAGTGAAAGAGATGGTGCATTAAATCTACTCTTCATGTTGAAATAGTATTGTTCCTGATTTAAAGCAGAATCAGACTTACACCATAGAGCTTTCAGTGGAGATAAGAGAGATTCCTCTCCTCTTTCTGTAACCGTGTAGAAGTGGGGCATGTTGTCTAATCATTCATTCAGATATTGACTATAGGCAATGGAGGTAGGTATCCACGCTAGGTCAGGAGAGGCATCGCCCTCAAGCTGCCTATTTCCCAGCAGGAGCTAGACAGAAAACCAGGTGCTGTGGGGACGTAACTCTGCATCTTCACAGACATAATTTTAATGCAGTTACAAATATCCAGGGAAATTACCTCGTGACTTGAATTCAATGAATCCTACTCATTAACAGAAACCAGGAATACCTGGGATACCATATTATGCCTCATAATAATAAATGACAATAGCAAAAGTACTAGCAAATTTGTCTCCAGAATGAAAAAAAAAAAAAAAAAAAGATTCTGCCTATAAATGGCATCCTTCCACGCCAAACTGATGAACTTCATCTGGGAGTCACTTCCCATGGAATAGTAAAGTTAGAAGGGGAAATGTCTTGCTAGCCAGCACACCTGCTTGAACTGAGTATCTGGAAGGAGGCTACTAGTTAGTGTCTTTGCAGAGTGGTTGGTTCTGGAGCTCTCCCTCATGATTATTTCCAACTATTCAGCTTTATGCCTTTCTACATCACCAACTTAATATATTTCAAAGAGTAAAAATGCATGGCAAAAATCAGCCTCCAATTCTTCTTATATTTCTACAGCATACATATGAGTTATGTAAAGGGTAATCTGCAAAATTTTTGAGGAGGACCTTAAAATGATCTGCTCAGAGACCATCAGCAGGGAGTAAAGTACTTGACAATCCAGACTAGGGCTTAGTCTGATCTCTGATGAAAACAATATTCTTTTTTTCTGTTTGTTTAAATTCTTCTATTTAGTTTTAATGTCATAATTAAATGTCTTTTAAACATAAAATTGGAAAGTGTCCTGGTTTTTACTTGAAATCAGAGTCAATTCTGGAGGAAAGAACTTCAACTTTACTCTAAGCAAAGCTTTTATCTTGCAGTAGTAATGCATGAGATTTTGAACTGTGAAATTCAGATTTTCAATGAATTTGAAATGAGGTTTTTTGCACATAATCAGGGAAGCCTACTGATCAATGCTTGGCTTGTTGTTGGTGCCATTTTCCTATATCCTGTAGAATGTTTAGGATTGAGAGTGATTAAAATGGTCTTCTTTATAACTAGGGGAGCAGGGAGGAAGAATTTTATGAGGTCTCATTCATAACAACTGTTGAGCTTCAAACTACTGTAATTTGTAAATATTGTAGTTATTACAGTAGTAAATACTTTCACTAAGGGTAATGAGACCTGGATCAGCAGCACCTGGTAACGTAGGAGCAAAAAGCTCCAAAACGAAATTAGTAATTTGTTGTACATTTTTTTCACAGGCTACCCTGATCCAACTGTGGATCTCCCTGAAGACAAAGCAGTTTTCCTGGATGGTGCTTTTTGAAAGAGAGCCATTTTGAAACATTGATGTGACTACTAGATTAATATAAAATGTTGTTGTTTTACGTTAGGTGTCCATATCAAATAATAATAAATGTTGCTTTATAAATACTCCCAATCAAGGTCCACAAGGCCTTAAAACACATGTGAACCAAAAACATAAGAAAATTGTCTTCACAAGAGCTCAGACTCATAAGGCACCAAAAGAATATGATTTACTTTGACTGAAACAAGAGTTTTGAGGCTTCTTACTGTGCTGTAAACCAATAAATGTTACCAATGAAGTTATGCAACTGACTTCCCTAGGTTCCAGATGAGACCTGAATAGAGCACAGTGACATGTAACACAGGCTAATCCACAAGTCCTCAAAGCCTATGGGAACCACTAACTTCCAGCTTTCTGTCTCAGAGAGCAGGGAAGGGAAATAATGCATGCCTTAGAAGAATACAAAATTGTAGTTAAAAAGCAGGAAAAAGGAAGGCCAAATTCAGAGAACTCCGAAGTCAACACACTGTTGACAATCCTCTCAAAATCTGGATATCAACTGTGTGAATAAATCAAGAGGGATGATCCGCACGGGTGGTGCCATCACTCTTCTAGCTATACACTCATATACAAAGTTTAAATTAGAAATCTGGTAGAAGATTTTTCAGGTGCAGAGTGACCTTTTTAATATTCTGTGGAAGATTTTTTTTGTATTTGTTTTTAAAAGTCATTAATCAGAGCTATGGGAAGAAAAGAGAAATAGAATATCGCTTAATGAGCTTGCAATTAGTAGACTAACAAGTCTGTTATTTTTGTACTTTTTCCCATTGTATGACCTAACAGAATACTAGTAAGCATTAAACACACCACAGCTTCAGCAAAAATATTGTGGTCTTTCATGACACACACAACTGTACTGGAAGTCTCTGTGAATTTAGCTGTTATAGAGCTAAAATGCACTTGATGTCTTGTCCATCTCAATTTATCATGAACTGTATGTCAAGAGCTCAGTACTGATGAAGATAGCATATGAAAAGGCATGTGCTTGGATACTTTCCAGCGTTTAAGTATAATAGAAATCTTAAGGAATTTAGTCATATCTTGATATTTGAAGAACAATGAAAAATAATATCAGATTTCACGGCCATAAGAAATGCTTTACCACAGAGCCAAACCAGAAAAATCTACAGGTGTCTTTTCCTGATCATTTCCAAAGCCAGTTTGTCCCCCTACATTTTTAGGTTTTGCTCATTTGAGAAAAGAGGGGGAGGGCAAATGCTTTTTGATTAGCAAAACTAAGTTGTGCAACAACGCAAAGGAAAGGTCAGGGTTCAAATTCAACATGCTGGATTGCTTGTCTCCCTCAATCCAATTCACTAAATCAGCAGCAATGAACTGCTATGATGACAGAAAGAATTTGGAAGGGGAGGAAAGTTGCACTTATATGGAAGACAAAAAATAGATCTATAAAATGATCGTCCTAATCTCCTTCCAAAGTCAAAGGAATACGTCCATTAAAAAAATGAATAATTTCTACCTTCACTCAAAAAGGATG